TTGTTGAAAATCAAGGGTCAAACTGGATTGGACATGATGCCTTGGCGTCACATGTACAAGTTGTACATGGTCAAGGCTCAGCCGCGTCATATGGTCAAGTCTTGGCGCCGATTGGACATCAAGTAGTCTCAGCGCCGGTTGGACATCAAGTAGTCCCGGTGCCGGTTGAACATCAAGTAGTCCCGGCGCCGGTTGGACAACGCTTGGCAAGCAATAATAAGACTAATGATGATAGTGCTGTGTTTGATAAGTTAGAGGAATGGTTGGCCGAAGACCCCTAGTACGTTTACGTGCATTATGAGTGGTATCCCAGACTTTCTTGATTTTCTTGATTCATCATCATTTATTTTTTTCAACAAACCTTTGATTCTTTAAAGTGTTAATTAGTTGCTGTATGTAGTTGGTTTGTGCGTGTTAGACGCAGTATTATGTAAACAATATTGTCGATAGATAGTAGGATAGTTAAAAATGCTAAATTTGGACAATATCATTTACATAATATTGTGTTTATCAATGATGAATTAGTTTAGTTCGTCAGAATAATTACAACATGTACGTTTTTCAAGCAAAAATAAGATTAGAGATTCTTTTGTGTATAATTTGCACATGTATGCGGCATCTTAATTTTCGTTATGCAGCGTATTCCATTTGTATGTGTGTATAAAGATATTACTAGCTATAATATTCAATATCAGCTGTTATAGTTCTTGGTTCTTACTATCGAAATAAATATAGAGTAACTATATATGAAAAACTAATAGATGCGCATTTTAATAAATTTCATTAAGGATTTGATAATACGATGGAAATGAGCTTTGTATTATATATGTTACTCCTTATTATTTGATTCACTATTTTATGATCATGTATATTTGTTTAATTTTGCTAATAAAAATGGAAATGTAACTAAGGAAAATCAATCGTGAAAGTTAGTTAATTGGTTTGTTAATTATGGCATTGACAATATGATGGGGGTGAGCTTTGTATTAAATTATACGGGCTGTTATTTGTTTGATTCAATATTTTTAAGTTCTTGTATGCTCTAAGCTTGGGTGCAATGGTTGGTAAATATAATGCATGATCTGTGCACCCGACCACCCGGATGCACCATGCACATGGTTAAATAAAAAAAAAGGCGAAAAGAACATTTAGGTATTTGAAAAAGAACATGCAGGTTTTTGAATAAGAACATATTTGTGTTTAATAAAGAACATGCATTATTAAAGAACATAAAGACGTTACAAAAGAACGTGATAAAAACTTTATTAAAATTTTATGAAAAATTACACATTAACGGAAAAAATCTTTACCAAAGATATCATTTCCCCAAAAATAGTTTTTTCTCCCTCTAAAATATTTTCAACTAAAAAAAAAATTCAAGATTTCATTTTCAAATTAAATTTCAAAATTCAAAATAACATATAAGTTATAATGTAACGAACATATAATTCATACCCGAAGAACACACTGATCAAACTCAAAGAACATACAATAATAAAAAAAAAAATGATGTATGATAATTTGAAAACTCAATTTATACTCCATATTGCTATAGTGTAGTAGTTATTTGATTCAAATAACTCAATTTCTCAAAAACCAATCAGAATACTATATACATATCAACTTTTAATTTTGAAAATTGTGTATAATTGAAATGTAATTACCTTATAATCTTATATACTCAATACTGATGTTGAGGTAGAGCTCATCATAATATGCTTGGCTTCAAAATTCAATAGTACATTTTTTAATTTGATTTTTACTTATGTATGTGATGATGAAATTTTGAGTAATTAATTATTTTACCTTCATTTTTAAATCAGAAAAACTAATTAATCGTGTATGTGACCTTGAAAAAAAAGTTAATTTGGACTAACTTAAACATATCCATCCTAACAACCTAACTAACAGCATAACTAACTAGTAACTACTAACGGATAACGCTCCAAATAAAATGTCTACAAGTATAAGCCAACAATAGTCAACGGTCAATACTAGGATTAAACTCCCAAATTCTAACAAACTAAGAATCCATTATTCAGTTATTCTACTGACCACTACTATATATACTACTCTCTTCAACTAACTAAACCAAATTAAAGCCCATAATTTTGTGCATTCTTACAACTTAAAACTCAAGCTAAGTTTTAAATTCAATCTTTCTCCTACTCGATCAAGATTAAATTTTTCCAAAAACGAACCCTTGACATCATAAAAATGTATAACGCGAAAGATCCCGGAAAACCGCCGATGAAGAACGACCAAACAGGCCGTAAGAGAGATACTCCGGTGGATAATCCGATCGTTACACACCAAAGGCCGCCGAAGGTAATGCGCCGAGAACATTATTTGAATGATTTTGTTGAAAATGTTATGGGAATGCCACGGCAGCAGCCTAGTATTATTGACCTTACTACTAACCAAGAAGTTGTACAAACTAACCCTAACAGTGATACCTCTACTCTTCAAGATGCTCCAAGCGCAGCACCATCTGATCAACATGATGGCTTGGCAGCAATAACATTTGGAAATCATGGCTCGCCTTCGTTTGGAGATGTGTCCACAACATTTGTAAGTAATAATGATGGCTCAAGCTCGGCTTCGATCGATCTTAATGCGGCGGTGTTTGGGAATTATGACTTGTCAAATGTTGGACGACAACTTGACCCCGTGTTGTTAGGAAATAATCTTGATTCGCCGCCGGCTTTTGGACAAGATGGCTCAGCCGCCGCAACTCTTGGAAATGATAGCTTGTTGGCTTCCTCTGGAAATATTGCCCCGGAATCATTTGAGTATCCTGCCTCGGCGTTGTATGAAAATCTTGGCTCATCCTCATTTGAACAACTTGCGTCAGCGTCCGTTGAACATTTTGGCATGCCTTCTTTGTATAATAATAATAATAATAATAATAATAATAATAATAATAATAATAATAATAATAATAATAATAATAATGATCTTGCTCCGCTGCCACCCGTTGAACATTATGCCTCGCCGTGGTCATATGGACAGCTTGCCCCGGATTCGTATGGACAGCTTGGCCCGTACGGACATCTTGACTCGGCGTCGCATGAAAATCTTGGCTCTTCAACCAATGGACAACTTGCCTCGGACTCACATGGACATCTTGATTCGGCGTCTCTTAAAAATCAAAGCTCTTCGTCGGGGTTGAACGCAAATCTTGGCTCATCGGTCGTTGAAAATCTTGTTCCTTCGTCAGCTGCTGGTCATCTTGGGTCGGGGTTGTACGAAAATCTTGGGTCATCGTCCTTTGAAAATGTTGTATCATCATCGGTTGAACATTTTGGGTATGGATATGGCTTGGCAAGGAGTACTAGAGATGCTTATTTTCAAGGAGTGTTGGATCATTTTATCAAATACTGGAACAACTTAAAGAAGCCGCACTAGTTTATGTTCATGACTACTGCTTCATGAACGACTTTCTTGGTCCATTATCATTTCATTAGTTTTACATGCTTTATGTCTAGTGTTTTTATCTTCTTTAGTGAGTAATTAATACTCAGTAATTAGTTTTTCACAAATAATAAGATTAGAGATTCTTCTATGTAATTTGCTCATGCAGTGATGTAATAAATTAGTTGTCATATTTCATTCGTATTAAATACATTACTATTGAATTTAGTATAATACAATTTATACATTCTAACAACCGTTGTCATAACAAAAGTTAGAACCCTTTACATATATGTGCATGCCTTATCCATAGTTGAAACTTGTAGGTAGAAGTCACAATTGAATGGTATGATTAGTTTTAACTTATTAAAGTAGAAGTTACAATTGACATTTAAATTTTAAAATACAAAGGAGTATTATTTTGTAAAAGTTGTCAAATTAGCCTTATAATTCCAATCTATTATCTATTAATTAATGTTAATCTTATTGAAATGGGTTAGGTTGTTTGTTTGATAGATGGTAAAATTAGCTTATGGTGTGATTTTGATTATTTATTGCAATTCAAATTTAGATTGTATAACGAAGTTCATGCAATTTAAGTCAAATCATGTAGTCTTTCTAAGTGCTAATCTTGGCTAACTAACTCGACTTGCTTCCGTTAGAGTTTGAGCAATCAATTTCCAAACTAAACTAGCCCGATTGGATTTAAGTGGCCAGTCTATTTGAATTGAGAGGAGGAGGGCCATGTGCATAGTTCGATCTAAATGCAATTTCTAGACTTATACTCCGTATTAAACTTTTGCTTGTCCCATTATCCCTTTATCGATTTCGGACAGCTTTATTATGAACAGATGAATCGGTTAAAACATGCTATCTTTATTTACGAGTGACTCAACCTAGCTAGATATGTACATACAATTTACTCTTTAATAACAGTTGTCATTACCTTGTGAAAAATTTTCCCGCCTTCTTCACTTTTTTTTTTTTTTTTTTTCAGTTTGACAATCATATTTCATATATACCCATATGAAATATTTCTGAATATATTTTACATACTTTATATTTTATAATATTATTGTCAAAAATATTTAACAACCGTACATTGCACGGAACTTTAACCTAGTTTAGGCAATTATTTGCTTATCTCATAAATTATCAACTCATTTTTTTTTTCATACTTTCGTATTTAATAAATCATGAAATTTTTGATTTTTTTAAAGTACCCATTAGTGCAAAATAATGACAACTCATTTGGTACGAGTATTATTTTATATAGTATATAATTAATTACGGTTACAACTTAATTAAATATGAAATCAGAGCTAATAAATCAAACATAACCTTCCAAGTTAGAGTAGTTTGGAAATTAGCTAGTGATGTAATGCATACAAAAAAACCTAAAAAAAACACAAGCAAATCTCCGCGAAAATGGCGAGTCAATGAGGGGTCTTAATATTCACGCCAATGTAATTATCCTTCCTTGTCATCTTCTAATAAAATTAAAAGCAAAATTAGTTATAACCCAAAAAAAATAACCATAAATTTGACTAACTCTGAAAATCCAATACATAAATAAAAAAAAATGTAATAATAATATATCCATCAATTAATTAATTGTTATAAAAAAAAATCAATCAATTAATTAATAATACAGAGATTCTGAGGAGAAAGTCACAGAGAAAGAGAGAAGTTGGTTTAGGACATCCTCCCATTTTTGTTTGACGAAGTACAGCCCACCATATCAACCCCTTTAACAAGAAACATCCCAGAAATTATACCCATTTTTAAAGAATCATTTTTCCCATTTATAAAAATCAATTTTTTTCCCCAAAAATATATAACTAAATTGATTTTCCTTGATTTCTTGCCTTGAATTTTGTGCTATTACCCAACTCCTGATCTGGGTTCCCCAAATTTTGTGAACCATTTTTTGGGATTTGAAGTTTTTTTTGCTTCTGATTGTTGGGGATTCCAAGCTCAGGGTGTTGTTGGGTTCAACAAAATTTTGATTCTGCAGAATTTTCTGATTTTGGGGGTAAAAGATTATAATTTTCTGGATTTTGGGGGTTGAAGATCAAATTTTTTATTATTATATTTTTTATATAGAATCTTGATTTGATTCATGATGATGTGGAGGGATCCCGGGCAACCTGCAGATTCTTACTATGAAGTCAGACCTGAAATTACAGATGCTCCAAAAACCAAGTTTAGGATCAAGGTTTGTTGGCATTTTTATTTTTTATTTTTTGGCATTTATTTTCAGTTATTAATAATTAAAACTGCTGAATGAATGCTGATTTTTTTTTTCACATGAACATTGCGTGATTTTGCCAATTGCAATGGTTGCATAGAATGATAGAATTGCGGGAGTTTGGGGAAAATGTTGAATGCTTCTTGTTGTTTTGCTTGGTTAATGAGCCGGTTGTCGGCTTTAAATCAGTTTTGCTGGAGACATGATTGAATTGGTAGGATCTTATATGTACAAACAATAGAATCGGGCAGCTAACATGCTGTTCGTATCCACCTGAACTCGGATAGTACTCGAACGAGGTTTGTGAACGGAACTTTGATAGGCAACAGTGCATTTCGATTAAATGCAATACACATTGTTGATTTTCTTCTTTGAACATGATTAGTGTTTGTGGACTGCTGTCTTTATGGGCTGTTTGGTTTAGAAGATGTTATGTATCAGCTGGACTTGTTATTGATAAATATGGATCTATGTTAAATGTCAATTTTCTTTTTCAGGCTGGTAAAACATTGAGTGTAAGGAAATGGCAATCAGCTTTTACTGCAGATGGCGAACTTGATATAAGCAAAACACTTGGTAGGATACATCGCGGGGTAAGTTTGGCTGAAAAGCTTTCGTCAGCTTTATGTATGCTGCTATCCTACTGTTCTACTCTTAGTTGCAATTTTAGCCCTTAGACTTGTATTGCTTTCAAAGGTTGATCTCATTCTAAAAAATGACATGGTAATTTGTAAGTATCTTTTAGGCCTTGCATATCTTTAAACGAATTATGTTTCTTCTGAAAGCTAGTATTATGTGTATATCTAAATTAATAAGTCCTAACTTGTGATCAAACATTCCCATTTCAATATGAAGAAATTAAAACTTGCAAACTGTATGTTTTGGTCCTAGTCACATGGATCAATATACATCACAAGTTCCCATGGGTCTAAAATGTTTCTTTAACCTGTTGGCAACCATTTATTTAGCAGGAATTGAGAAGCCTATTATGATAATGAGACCTAGGGCATCCTATGTTTAGCTCTTTGGTCTTCATTTTTGAATATTTTTCATTTTTAGAAACGTTAATGTAGATTAGAAAGTCTTATGTTTGAATATCTCCTTATCAGGGGGTCCATCCATCAATTAGGGGAGAGGTTTGGGAGTTCTTGCTTGGATGTTTTGACCCAAAGAGCACATTCGATGATCGATCACAAAAACGGCAACGGAGAAGGTAGTCATTTCAACTATGTTTTTGAATTCACTTCTTCTAATTTGAATAATACATCACTGTTTCTTTTTTTTTTTTTTTTGTTGGAAGACATACATCACTGTTTCTTGAAAAAAGTAGGAACTAGCAAATCTGTTGTAGATAAAGAATTGGTGGTTTTAAGAGTTTTGGAAATGTAACGTTATCAAATCCTACTTTACTAGTGCTGTGGGCTGTGGCTACAGCAAATTACCAGATGTGATCGGCATTTTGCTCAATCAATGATATCAAATTCAGACACAAGAATTACTATCTGGTTTTGATACTCTAGATGTGATATGAAACAATGTCATAGTGATTATATTCGTTACAAGTTGTTATGAATAATGTGTAATGCATTGCACATGCCTGATCCATTGCAATTGGTCCTCCTGATTGTCTGGCCTTGTGGAAACAAGGCTTCACTGTTTGTTTGGTTTTTTATTCTGTCTTTGGAGTCCTATGGTTCTGGCTCTTTTCTGACTGTCCCTGACTCCAGTCAATTCTTTAATTTATATGTTGCAATGATCTTTCTAAACCTTGTCGAATCTTCTTCAAAATTGTCGGCTTATTAGAACTCACTTTCGTTATGTAAAGTCCGCGCTTCTATGATGTCAACAAGTGCTTCAATTTCATAATGTGAAAATCTTTATGTATCTTCTAGTGTCTTGCTGTTCACGGCTTCAGTTAAACTACTGCCTTGTGTGATTTTGAATATACTGATGCAGCTACTTTTGCGGGCCGCTGAACTTGTATTATGATTTGGTTTTCTGTATTTCAGTTTCCAACTTGTTATATAATAGTGGGAATGGTAATGGATTTGAAAGCTAGTTTGCTAGGAAATCTTATGTTCATTACCATGTCATTGGAACTCTGCCTCCAAACGTGTGTTTTTCTACATAAATTTCTATCAGCACATGATACCACCTTCAAAAAAGGTAATGAAAGTTTGTGAAGAGAAAGAGGTGTTTGAGGAGGGAGTAGCATTATCATAGGTATTGGCATGATCTTTTCTTCACAAACTTACTTATTAAATCATTACCATTACCACTATTAATTACCACCTACCAAACAGGCTGTAATAGTTGTGTTTGGTAATTGGTTGCATGGAAAGGGTCACGGTGGATATTTATGTCAGATTAGCAGAACCTAATTTTGTGGATTTTCTGTTTACTTATCAGCCTGTTATGTGCATTTGCAGGGTGCAATATGCTCAGTGGAAAGAGGAGTGCCGTCTGATGTTTCCCCTTATTGGCAGTGGTAGATTTATAACAGCTCCCATAATTAATGATCGTGGAGAGCCTATTCAGGATCCTTTGGTACTCTTAGAAGCAGATCTAGGAGATGGTGCTGGTGCTGGGAACAATGCTTATGGTGCAGGAGCTTCCAGTAGTCAAGGAATGGACAATGTAACAAAGAATAATGGTCCCATGTCCAAGAAAGAAATTCAGTGGAAGCTCACTTTACATCAAATAGGTCAGTGTTCGATAAACTATACTAATTTGTGATATATGATTTAAAGTGTTGGGTCAACTGTCATAGTCACTGGCAAGGTATTTGCCATTCCAATCTTATTCGAAAAACATCCTCTTATTGATCTCTGTGGTGACTGCTGTGGGTTTGGCACTTCTAGAAATCTAGAATTACAGGTGAATGAGAATTTTAGCTGTAAATCTCCTCATATATTGTGATTTCAGTTTATTCAGAGCTCTCTATGTGAAAGTTGTTGATTATGTAGTTCCATGCACTCACCATTACTTGTACGGTTGTACCCCATCCGTTTCATACTAATAGGTATCCATACTTTTTCAGGTCAAACATTTCCGAAAATTTTGCTGAAAGTTGTTGATAAAATCTTATAGTTACAAGTTTGACAGTGATTGCTGAACTCTGATACATGTCTATTAGTGCAAATAATTTCAATTCTTATGAATATATACTGAGAGAAAAAGGATTTTTGTTTTTGGGTGGGGTGGGGGCCTGGGGGGTGGGGTGGAGGGGGTGTCTGAATTCAAATGTTGTGTCAACTATTAACTCCATATTCTCTTCTGCGAATGATATATAATTTCTGCCTGTTTGATATTCTTAGAAGCATTGGTTGTGGTAATGTCATGATGTACCTTGAAGTCATTCAGATTAGAAAGCCTTGCTTACTTTACACTAATTGAAAGATTTCTCCCTTGTCATCCTGAAGTGTTACCAGTATTGTCTGCATTGCTTTCTTCCCTGCCACGGGTACTCGGGTAGCTCAGATGACATGTTGTGTTCTCAATCGAAAAGATATTTACTTTCTATTTCCATTTTATGCCCTAGTGTTGGAAAAGCTTTTCTGTATCTTGGTAAATTTTTTTTTTTTTTTTTTTTCCCTGTGATTGTCCTAATTTCTGGACAAATATTTTTATGGCAGGTCTTGACGTGAAACGCACTGACAGGGCTCTTGTTTTCTATGAGAAGCAAGAAAATCTTGCTAAACTTTGGGATATATTGGCTATTTATGCCTGGATAGATGGAGATGTTGGGTACTGCCAAGGTCAGTTATCAATGAACTCCCTTTTGTTTGAGCCTTGTTGAATTTAAGATTAAACATTTTAGCTTTATGTTAAACTCGGTTCATGTTAATAGTTTTATGTGGTGCTAGACCTACATTGAAAAAGCCATTTTTTAATCAAAAAGTTGGTTGGTGTTTGAGCATTCCTACAGTATTGAGCAGAAAAAATTTCTTAAGCTGGATGAGTAAGAGAAGGATCTTCTGGATAAATTGATGGAATAAAAATAAAAGTTATAGTTTTGCTGAACTTTGCTCTACCGTCATTAAAAATTCATTTTGCATACCTTGGAATGAGTTGTTTCTTATCGCTCCAATGTTTTTGGGATAAAAGTCGATGGTCTATCCATTAGCATTTGTCATAGTTTGACCTGAAGCTGTGTTAGCTGTCATACCTCTTAAAATTATCACTATGGATTCAATGTACACTCATATCCAAGAGAGAGTTATTTGTCGTACTCCTACCATATCCATATATATGCATCACTTATCTTAAATTTGGCTTTTTCTGAGTAAATGCATCACTTGTACATATGATATGTGGTATGATCCTACCATACTTTAACATTTTTATAATACTGTTTTACATACACCACTTCCCCAATTTTACATTATAATACTACAATTCAGAAGTCATAACCCAGTTGCCCACTTGTACATTTTGATATACTTTTCATGCCCCCACGTGTTCCCATGCCCCCATTTTTACATTAATATTCTACTTTCATATCCCACCTACAATATCACATAATATTATGTGTAATACAAGTGATGCATCTATTTATTAGAATGGAAGTGAGTAGACTGAGTACTATATTAAGGGTTTGGGGTGTTAGGTTGGTTTGGTATGAGAGAAGCAGGGCATACCCTGCAGGCACTACACATCAGACAGCACTTATCTTACAAGAATTCTTTAAATTTGGGGATTAATAGCTATGTGCCTGTTACTTGTAAAAGCTTGTGCATTCTGAAGTGTTGTTAATCCGAGTGCAGGAATGAGTGATCTTTGCTCTCCCATGTTAATTCTCCTTGACAACGAAGCTGATGCCTTTTGGTGCTTTGAACGCCTTATGCGCAGATTGGTACCTTTTCTTCTACTGTTTTGTATTTGATCAATTTGTATTAGCTCAAACTGCAGAAAATTATTTTATGCTGAATATATGTCCAATCAGAAATCTGACACTCTAGTGTCTGGGACCTCTGGTTGAATTATCACTCTTTTCTCCTATCTCCCCCCCCCCCCCACCCCCAAAAAAAAAAAAAAAACAAAAATAAAAAGTTAAAATAAAAAGAAGACATTTGTTTTTCATTTCAAGTCCATGTGTTTTTCATTACATATGTCATGATATTTGGTGCAGTTGCTTACAAATGTTCTGTAATGTGAAATTTTAAAGCGAGGAAATTTCAGATCCACTGGCAGATCTGTTGGGGTAGAGGCACAACTTAGTAACCTAGCAACAATTACTCAAGTTATTGACCCGAAACTTCATCAGCATTTAGGTACTGATTATTTATTATTATTATTTTTTTTCTTTATTCATTAAATCACACATTTGTTTTTTTTAAAGTGGATTGTTTCAGTTGTTGCAAAGTTTATGGTGAAAATATTTTATGTTGGCCCTTCTTCATTTCTCATGTAGAGAAATTTCTTTATTGAAAAGGGATGTAGTAGAGGAATAACTGAGTTTACATTAAAATTAATCAATGTTGTATTGTTGCTTTGAAAGGTTTATTTGCTCTCATATTATAAAATACCTTTTACTCCATTATAAATGCTTTCATGAATTGTTTCCCAATTATAATTACGTGACAATGAACTCCCTTTTTGGTTTTGGAAAACAGAAACACTTGGTGGAGGTGACTATCTTTTTGCCATTCGAATGCTCATGGTTTTGTTTCGACGAGAATTTTCTTTTGGTGACTCTCTGTACCTTTGGGAGGTATGATAGAAACATCTTAAACTCTTAATTTCTTCATGGTCTGAGCTTACTTGGTGGAGTATACTAACCCACTAAATACCTCAACTGAAATATGTTATGATATCTTCACTGGATTCCTTAAGTAAAATCTGTTGTAATAATCTAATATGATGGTTAATTGGTACTTTTATTTGTGATTAAGCAGTTCCTTTCTTGATTTTCTCACATAAAGATACTAGTGAGAAAATATTATTTCCTTTTACCCATAATATTTCGTATACATTTGTGGTAAAGAATTTATTGCTTCTAACCACGCTGTAAATTCTACCTCAAAATCTTAAGATATCAAAATTTCCATTTCTAAGGTCATAATGCATATTAAGTATGAGCATGTTTTATAATAGTTCTGCTGTACCAGTGGCACCTAAATATGTGCTCATTATGTTGATGTAATCGGAAATAATAATACTGAGTGTGCATTTACTCTCCAGAAAGTGTGAGATTTTCTTGGTTCTGCACCTTATGTACATTCCACAAGAAACCAAAACCCCTTTCCATTGCTTTCTAAAAAATTTCCTTGTATCCTCAATGATCTAATAGTTTCACTCTTTGGAAGCTCCAAATGCTTAGAATCAAGTATGGATTAAGAGCCTTCTCCCTTTCCTTTCCTTTACAGTGACAAGAAACTGTGAGCTATTGGTTGTATCATCCAATTAGAAATTCTGAGTCTCTTCTTTATTGAATTAGGTAATTCCTGGATATGAACATGGGAAAAGCATCTTAAGTTTTCCACCTTAACACTTGGTCTAACATCCCTCCTGCCCGTTAAAGACGTAACTAGCTAAGCTTATGATTCCCATGTATCTACTTCAAATGGAGTTTTTTTCTTTAATGGATAATGTATGTATGTGCCATGTTCCAAGCAATAACACTGGGACCCCAGCAAAAGCGAGATACAAGTTTTCAGCGGTGTAGGTAGCCCTACCTCAATTTAACACACAATGTCTACAGCCCTTAATAGTTAATAGGAAAGGAGAGAGTAGCAAAACACAAAAACATATAATAAACTACTGGAAAGTCAATACTTTTCACCAAGCAAACCCCCCAAATGTCTAGTGTTCACCTGCAGTTTGGTTTTAGTGTCACAGTGATCAAGGCCTTTGAATCCTCCCAACACCATAGAAACAAACATTAGATTCGGAACATGGTAATGCAGACTAGACTTTATGTGTTGGAGGTTTGGAGCCTTGGAGGACTGGGATTCTTCGATAGTTGTTGTCAAAATTTGACTTAGTAAACAGTCGAACAGTTGTTTTAAGAATATATATCCTGCATAATTCATTTGCATACTGAGGAACCTATATCTATCGGATACATGAGTTCTCGCTTGAAAGGAGGAGAATCATATGCAGATCTCTAATTTTCCAGAGAAGTTCCAGTCTTGTTTGTACAAGGGCTTTGTAGTTTTTGTCATTTCGAAGACTCTTGCCTTAACTAGCTAACAAGTTAGTGGGAAGGAACAGAGAAACTTGTAAAGAGTGACAATAACTTTGGGTTAGTTTCATGTCTTATGTGTACTTCAACCATGAATTATCTTGTTTAGTTTTTATGTGAAATTTTTTCTCTCTTTTCAATTTTTTTTATTTTTTATTTTTTTTTTAATTTTTTTTTATTTACATTTTATTAACGTATATGCACATTTATGTATGTACACGTTGACTCTCTTTCTTACAACCAAAAATAAAAAATAAAGAATCATTTGTGGGATAAAGTAGAAAACATCAGCATAGATTTATTGTACATATTCACTGCAGCATTACTACCCCATACTCTTGTAGTTTTGGTCTTGCTTACTCACTTTCTGTTTTGGAAGTCATAAACTTTGTTATGCAATTTCCTAGTGTAACTATTTAATTGAAGATCAATGCTTCTGTTTTCCGTTTTTTATTATTTGTTTTCACTTCAAAATTGACATTTTCTTAGTAACTGAAACAGCTCTGATAATTTCAACTTTTTGTGAAATTGGTGAACAGATGATGTGGGCTTTAGAATACGATCCTGATCTTTTCTTAGTATATGAAGAGTCTGATTCTGCTACTGAAAGTTCTGAGGGATCCAAAGGAAAACCGAAATCTATTCGCCATTACGGAAAGTATGAAAGGGAAATTTTGAGAAGTGGAGCAAAGGAAGACGCACCCCTCCCCATTTCTGTCTTCCTTGTTGCCAGTGTGTTGAAAGAGAAGGGCCCAAAACTACTCAAGGAAGCTCGTGGTCTGGATGATGTTGTAAAGGTTTGTCTCAAGTCCTTAGAGTACTGCAGTGGTAACATTTGTTGGCTTTAAGTGTAACTGTAAATTTACCAGCAAGATAAAGACAGTGGATATTTATTCACATTGATAACTTACTATTGTGGCATTGATATCGTAAAGAAAGTTTATTTGCAATTGTTTAATTGTTCAAAACTGGAAAAAATCAAGTTAGTACAGAAAAGCTATAAGATACTGACTCCATTGTAGTATATTTGTGTTTTCAATTTTTCTTCCTGCTCATTTTGTCGCCTTACATTTTCAGATTTTGAACGACATAGCTGGGGATCTGGATGCCAAGAAAGCTTGTGTCAATGCATTGAAGCTACATAAAAAGTATTTAAAACAGGTAGCTTGCTTTCCTTGAAAACTCTTAGAGGTTGAATGGAGTAAAAGATGAGGAAGTGTAAGAAAAAAGTGGATAAACTAAGAGAGTGAGTGGGTAGGTGTAATTACTGTGGGATAAGGGTAGGTAAGATGGTAAAAGGTGTTCGCCAAAATTAGAACAAAGTAGAAGTGGGTAGAACAAAATTCGACATTAAAGATGTATTGTGATAGCTGACAAGTTAACAAAATAAGAATATTTGGTTTGGTCTAAAACATTATGGTTTGATTTGGTTCTAAATAAAAATAAATAATAAACATTTGAAATGGGATGAAGAGAACATAAGCAAAAAGTGTTAAGTCAGTGTAATGTTGAGACAAGAATCTGGTATCGACTATTTGTGCCTTTTTGGTGATTGTTCTCTCAATGATAAACTACAGGAATTAATCATAACATGTTAACAGAGATAATTTCACTATATATAAGATGGTTGTATAGTCAAAGATGAATCAAGAGTCGCCTCACAGCCTATGCCTATCTACTTTAAAAGTTATAGCGATGTCAACCAAAAGTCGTCACATAGCTAGTTAAGTCATCTTTACACTTAAACAGTCACTCCCCAGACCCAAGATACGCCCTAACATACACACTTGCCCTTGTATTTCTGTATGAATAACTGCTTTGTAACTGTAAGGGCATGTCAATGTCATCGTTGAGAAGTTTGTACCCTAACAATGGGGATCTTGGTTGTATTTTGGTTTGTGTTCCGTGGAGAGACACTTGGAAAGACCCTAGGCCAAGAGCGCTGCTAATTTCTCTTTGGATGCATTCATGGCTTAGCAATTTAGTGGGTTTCATCTTATAGATTGAGCTCCATCTTTATATGCTGTTGTTGGAATGTGTTTATATTGAGCCATATATTTATGTAAGGTTTTTGTGTCATTTTCAGGCAAAGAAGGTATAGCACGAAAAATATAGAAATTTTGGTCAGTCGAGATTCAACCAATCAATACGGTGTATATCTTTTTGGGTGTACGGCAAAGAATTGTATCATAGAAATCTCTTGGCCAATTCAGCATAATCCACATGTAATTTATAAAGGATTGATGCTTGTTGTACATCTTAAACATTCTTTGTACCAGTTTTGCGAAATTTATGAATATAAATACAACCCACTGCTTGTGGGTTGCAACTTTGGTTGTAAAAGTTCTTCTATATCAATGGAATTTAATTCAAGCTCTTATTTTCTTCTTTTTCTTTGTTGTGCTTTCCCCTGACTTCTAGCTGTCACAGAGATTCTATATAATTTGCAATCGTGGTAAATTTCAGCAATATATGTAAGGAATGTACTGCGCTACTGCGGTTGCAAGATCTAGTCAACGATCATAAGATTTTTTTTTAAAGATTTTACCATAAAATATATATATATTGCATACAAAAAGTAAAATTGTTGCTGGGAAGTTTAACATAATATCACGTTTATCAATATATCTTGTTTATTGTTGCATTTGCTTCCATCAATCCTAATACATCCCGGCATCTAGCACTACCAACCATGGTGTAAAAACAAGGCCGCGACGTCTTGGTTGGGCCGTTTTGTAAAGGATTTTCAATTGACCAAATCAAGATTGTCCGTATCAACAAGGGGTGTTAAAAAAATCCGCGATTTTGTCCGGATCAAACATTCCAACCCTAAATCACCCCTTATTGAAAGTTACATCAATTATTTTACTCAAAAGTTACTTCCTATTCAAAGATATAGTGAAAGATCTCCCCACTAACGGCTCAAATCCTTTACTATTCTACCATCTCTCCATTGATGGCTTTAAAACTCTACTATCTTTAAATCAAATTTGCATCGCGATAACCGTTATACGGTCCACGATCAACGCATCATACCCGTTCCCACAACACCGCAACCATTCCCGTGATCGTAACCGAAACCGCATTTTCGAACCATGCTACAACTTACCAAGTGAGCTATTACAATATTCAATTTTATTTTTTTTTTAATATTTTTTTTGGAAAGCATATTCAAAGTTCTTATAACCCATTATTCAAATTTTACACTATTTTTTTATATTACACGTAGTTTTTTTTTTAAAAAAAAAAAAAAAAAAAGTGTAAAGCAAAGCTGTAAATATTGTGAGGTAAAAGGTATCAACAGAAAATGAGGTGTGGCTAGTAAAATGCACAATGATAATAACATTATGAAATAGATTAAAATGAACAATGTTAATATTGTGAACCAATCAAACAAGGTAATATATTCTTGTTTGTGACTACTATTTTTTTTTTATTTAAATGTTATAACTATGTAGACTGTATTCTTATAATTCCAAAAACAATTAATTGTTAATTTACCTTGTATCACTCGTACATTAACAAGATCCATTCATAAGACCAGCAACCCTCAAGGGAATACGAAATACCTACATATAATTATATAACTACTATATAAGCTAGTCACCCTATACTCCAAATGATAGGGTTTCAATAGTTTGCTTGTTGTAGTTTATTTTATGCATCAACAAGATTATATTACTCATAAGGAAATGGATCAATTTCTTGGACATACTAAATAGAAAAGTGTAGCAATTGTATATACGTCACATTAAATTATTTTGTATACATCGTATCAAACTTTAAAATTTGTCTTGTTATTTTTCAAGGAACCTACTCTGTATTCTAATAATATGTTGTTGATAATCTACAAATGTTATCCGTATTCCTATATTTGTGGGCTAATATAAAAACGTACCGTTCAATAAAATTTTCATCATGTAATATTGATAAATTCATACTTTTTTTTTTAAGTATAATTTAGAAAAACCACTTGAATATGAATTAGGAGAGTAATATACAATTAAAAAATAGAAAAGTTGAAAAAAGTATGAAATATTTTCAAGATAAATTTTCAACTTTATAGCATCATATCCCCTTCTTTCTCTCTACCAAAAAATTATAAACCAATAATAAACAAATTCCCTCCGAAAAGTTAGTCAAAAACTAGAGGAACATAAAAGGCTTAACTAAAATTTGACATTACAAGAATCCCAAGTGTCATGTCCCTCCTTTTCTTCCTTCATCACCTTCATTTGGGGGGTTTCCTTTGAACTCCCCATTTTCACTATTTTCACCTCTCCCCCTAATTTCTAACCCCTCTTTGTCCTTCCGGTGAGGTGTCCGGCCTCCGGTACACCATTCTCTCTTATTCTCCCCTTGTCTAAATATCTCTGTTACATTTTCTTTTCCTCTCACATTCATTGAGGCCAAGGAATAAAATAATAAGAAAAATATAATAGAACGAAAAGAGAAAAAAAATCTTACATACACCCCCTAGGAGGCTTCAAAGGAGGTGATAAGGCGATGAAAACGAGCCTTAGATCTTCCACGAAAATACCATGGAAGATACCATTATGGTTAGCGATTGTTATTATTATCCTATGTTCGTTAGTTGAGGTATGTAGAGGCCAAAACAAAGACGTCGATGAGTTTGGGGACCCTAAAACAAAGGTCGATGCCTTTGGAGGAGACTCAAGCGGCTCAGGAGGAGCAAGCGGACCTCCAAAGATCCCCAAAGAAGTCCAAAGTTGTGATGGAATATACATCTCCTATGACTTCTTAGGGCGCGAGAAGGAGTACCCCCATGTCAAGAACACAACGGCACAATCATGGGCCTTTAAGTCCCAATTGCAGCTTGTGAACATGGGCAATACCGAGCTTAAGACATGGAAGGTCTTCATCGGGTTCCAACATAGGGAGCTTTTGGTATCGGCTGATGGAGCTGTTTTGGTGGATGGGGATGAGTTTCCGGCCCAAGTGGGTAACAATGGTACCACTATTGGAGGGTATCCCCAAGCCGATCTCAAGACTGCCATTGATACAGCCGGGGATTTTACCCAAATCGCGGTTAGTGTTGCCTTTAAGGGTACTCAATTTGGTGTTAAGCCTCCAGGAACCCCAATGCCTAAGACACTTAAGCTTCAAAATGATGGTTTCAAGTGCCCTGCTCCTTCTAAGCGGAGTAAGTTACACTTGGTTGCATTTTATGAAATCAAATTACAATTTATTTCACTTTTCGACGTAAACTTCATGATTAGAAATTGCAATGCACAAGTGGACAGCTATACATTGGAAATATTATAGGATTACTAGCCCACAATTTATACATCAAAATATAATTATCTTAAATTTGTATGCTGTTTACCTTAATTTAATACAAATAGTCATTTTGTTATCCTTATTTCCATATATTAATTTGTACAGTTGTACTAGTATATTTTTCTCAAGAGTAATTTCTACCTGAATAGAATAAACTAGAAAACCATTGAACAATAAAATGATAAGTTTGATTTATTTCACCAATAAGGTTTACTATATGGAAGATTATATTTCTTTAAAAATAATTGTAAGGCTTTATAAAATTCCATTACATGCTCATATTATAAGCTAATGTCTTATATTGTGTTTCTATAGAGAGCAACATTTACTTATGTTGTCGAAAAGACAAGAAATTCAAGGTGAACACCAAGCTGAAGTACTCAAGAAAGAAAACCGGTGACCTTAATGTAATGTACGACGTCTTGCAAACCAATGGTAACAACTACTTGGCGCAAGTAACAATGGAGAACGATCACCCACTAGGTCGTCTAGACCACTGGAATCTAACATGGGAGTGGATGAGAGGAGAGTTTATCTCCACAATGCGAGGCGCCTTCACCCACCTTAAGGACCCGTCTCAGTGCATCTACGGCCCTGCAGGCCAATACTACCAGAACATGGACTTCACCCAAGTTATGAACTGTGAGAGGAATCCTATAATGTCTGACTTGCCTGCTGAAAAGAAGGATGATGAGAAGGTTGGAAAATTGCCATTTTGCTGTAGGAATGGCACTGTATTGCCGAAGACTATGAATGAGAGCGAGTCGAAATCAGTTTTTCAGTTGCAAGTGTTCAAGATTCCTCCTGATATGAATCGTACTGCTCTGTATCCACCCCAAAACTGGAAACTCACTGGTGTTCTTAACCCTAACTACAAGTGTGGGCCTCCTATGCGAGTCGAACCTTCAGAGTTTCCGGATCCTACTGGATTGCAGGTACTTCAATTACAATATTGTATCTGATCTGTTCCTAATTCACTGCATATTTGTGCAAATTTCTTGGCAAGCTGAATAAAAAGAAGTGCTACCTCCATTTATTTTTAGTTGCAACAAAGGAATTTTATATGTCTCACAAATAATACTTGTTTGTTGCAAAAATAAACGAAGGTAGTAGAAACTAGAAAATTATTTAGCAAGTTGAATGCTTTTAATTGTATCTAAAATCTGCATCCTAAAAAGTTTATTGGACATTGACTCTGATAACATCTTTATTCTAATTGTTTTGTAGGCGAGGGTTTTGGCAGTAGCAAGCTGGCAGGTGGTATGCAACATAACCCGTCCAAAGGTGAAGCAAAACAGATGTTGTGTCTCATTCTCAGCCTACTATAACGACTCAGTAGTGCCATGCAACACATGCGCCTGTGGGTGTAACGATCTTCCTGATGATGGGACCCAGTGCAGCACAAAAGCCCCTGCAATGCTCCTACCACCTGAGGCATTACTTGTGCCCTTTGAAAACCGAAGTGTCAAAGCCGTGGCATGGTCAAGGATCAAGCACTATCATATATATGATCCAATGCCCTGCCCCGACAACTGCGGAGTCAGCATCAACTGGCACGTCGATGCTGACTACAAAAACGGGTGGACTGCCCGTATGACCCTCTTCAACTGGGGTAGCAACGCCTTCGAGGATTGGTTTGTTGGGGTTCAGATGGGGAAAGCATCAGAAGGGTTTGATAAAGCCTACTCTTTCAATGGAACATTGTTAAAGGACTTAAATAACACCATACTTTTGCAAGGATTGAAGGGGTTGAATTACCTAATTGCCGAGACAAATGGGACTAAACCCCGCGATCCAAGGGTGCCTGGGAAGCAGCAGTCTGTGCTTTCCTTCAACAAGAGACTAACTTGGCATCTGAACATCCCTGAAGGCGACGGGTTCCCGAAAAAGCTGCTCTTCAACGGGGAAGAATGTGCACTGCCTAGTTTCATTCCTGCCAAGAGTGGAGGCATACGAACAAACTCGAAGAATTCTATCATTACTTTTATCTTCACTTGCATCATCACCTTGTTTTTGGTAAGATAACTTCAGATGGGTTTCAATTTAGTTCTTTGATTGGAACAATTACTCGAAAATGTATGTCGATCAATATTTGAGTAATTAACATTATTATTCACTCCAACCAAGAGAAAGCTAGCATATACATATATATATATATATATATATATATATATATATATATATGCAGGGGAAAATATATGTTTTGTAAAGTTTTACGGGATCTCTGTAAGTCATACAAGTAATTAAGTGGAGTGGTGAAGGATGCCTGGTAAATGTTTTAGGTGAATGAGATTGATAACTCTTAATGTTTGTAAGTAAAGTAATTTGATTTCTACATGTAACACAAAATTTGCAATAGAAAAAAATGGAGGAAAAACACATTGAACCTTGAAATTTTTGTAATAAGGGTAGATATATTATGTTACAATTTGCCCCTCTTAGTTACTATTGTTGCCTTGAACGATAGAATTTGTTGTACTCACCTCTCCTGTTGCTCCGGCGATAAAGGCTTGCGCCTAAAATGGACTAGCTAGTGATTTCTTTTTTGGGAAATTGTCAACATTACATTATTGGACAATGATTCTTAATATTTCTCTCCTCGTCTCGCTGGTCGGTCAGTACCTTTTCTATCTCTCCCCTCTCCTAAGGTACCGCACATCGGTATAAAGGATTATTTGTTGTTAACAGAAACCATAGATTGTCGTACAAGTAGAGAAGTGGTGCATGTTTGAGGTGGATGAGTTCAAGAACTTTGAAGTTGCAATTAAAGTAAGTTGATTTCTGTAGGGAAAAAATAAATAAATAAATAAAATTGCACCTTGAAAATTTGTAATATACTGATAAACTTGTGTTCCTACCAGTTTTGAAGCTTTGAAGATGATTTGTGTGTGTGCAAGAGTGTGTTGGTAGAGAAAGCCACAAAGGGTAAATGATTTAGACGAGATTCAATTCAGGTCTTTATCAACACTAAAGACTTTTTTTCCCTTCTTTCATTTATTTGTTTTTACGCACACAAAAAAAGTGAAGATAAAAAATAATTATAAATTAAAAAAATTAATATAAACCTCTTAAGAGATTACAAGCTATAACAGGACAGATGGGGCAAAAAGCCAAGCAGTAGGTTTAGATTTTCATGATAAATTAGACTTTTTACCATCCATATTGAGAAAGTCAGGAAAACTAAGTTCAAATAATGGCGCAAGTGCTAATAAGTTCAGATGATCTCTATTGGTTATTTAATTCAGATAAGCTCGGGTAACTTGCCTTCAAATTTCATATATCTTAAAGAGACCAAGTAAAATTGAAGCAGAATTGTGAGTACCCAAAAGCTGCATTCAATTTGCAAACGACAATACAATAAGATGCACAAACCAGAAGCTTTTCATTATAAAAGTAATTCACATATTTAAGTTGATGTTACAATATAAAGGTTGGTTTTAACTAAAGCCCTTTTCTTTTCTTTTCTTTTCAAACCCTATCACCCCCCTTTCCTCTTCTTTTTCCCAGTGTAATTGTAGCCCAGTTTCATACCTACATCATGTGAATCACATAGTGCTACAGACAAGCAAAACTGAACACAGACATGAAGCAAGTTGGTAACATACTTTCTTTCATATTTCCTGCTGCTCTTCTGCTATCATGTAAGTCGGGCAATATGATTTTTCCATAAACTAAGTGTGTCATCAAACAGCTAAAATCTCGTCTACACTGGTAATTTCCTCATACTGCACTTTGGGCTCCAAGTCAATGAACTGGTTGGATTTGCTAGCCAAATGTGAGATGCTAACCCTGCCTTCACGCATTATATAATCAGCAACAGCTTTCATTTCTTCAAGTGAGATATATATGTACTTTCCTCTATCGTCCATGACTCCTGAAAGTCTTCCTGCAATTTTAGATCAGAACAACAAAGCACCAATCTTTTCAATAAGAAAATTGCACCATAAAGTAGTAATTCAAATTTCTATTATCCAGACAATTCACAATTATCACATATTTTGCCTGAAGGGTTGTTGAACCAACATGCAGCATAGTACTCCAAGAAATTGCAAGCATCATCTCAATCAAGAAAATTATCAGCTGTCAATAGTCCAATATTATCTTGACAAACAAAACTATAGTAAAGCCTAATATAAAGCTTAAAGGAGAGCACTAGCAGGGTAGAAGGGGAGTAGGGGACTAAAGACCATACATGAAATACTAACAAAATGGCTTATATGAAATACAGGATAACTTAGCCTCCATTCTAATATGCTATTAATCAAATTCCAAAGGAAATCCATAATAAAGCGAATATAAAAGAAGAGAATGATTCTAATACGTACCCATATTTTCTAGAGCTGTGATACGATTAATACATTCCTGTATAGAGCACAAGTGAGCACATTAGCAGATTAAACATTAGGTACCAATAGATACAAACAAATCAAAAACTAGATAACAGATGGATACCCTAGTGAAACAAGGAATGCATGTATGAAAGATACAGTATATAGACCTATATTACTTAGACTATATTTCACCTTAATAACTAGTGTCAGATTCTTAAAACTCCGACATGGATAAGCCGATAAGGACACTTGATACTTCATTTTGGAGTGGAAAGAAGGAAATTTTTCACTAAAAAGCAGATTCTGACATTGAACACTTCATGTGTCCCACAAAAGTAACCGAATCCAAGTAACATAAATATAGACAATCAAATGATTACAAAAGGTTTAACTTATGCTCAAACAATACTTGACTGTTCTAACAACTCTATGCTCGTGACTGAATAAGTAAACTATTTATGATTTTGTCATTTCAGTTAAATACTCCGTAGATGTGTTCTATTTTCGTTACTCTCTTTCTTTCATATGCCAAGAAGTGCAGAGTTGATTGATGTACCTGAGTCCTCAACCTAAATTCTGCAGCCAGGTCTTCCAGGGGTACACACTTTTGCTTCTGTAAAGATGAATACAATATTAATAATGCTACGAAATGAAAGCACAAATACAGGCATATAGCTGTTAATAATAGATTGCATTCTTACAGCACATGTTATAAGATAATTAAACAAATCAACTTACAATCATTTGTGTAGAAACAAACAGACCATGATTTCAAATGTTACAAAAATGACAAAACAGAAAAAGGGAAACATGGACAAGGCTTAAAAAAGCACCAATTCAAAACTAATTTTCAGAGACATGGTTCTTCAAAATGCAATTAACTAGTCAAAATTTCATTTAGGAACTCAGACCTACAACACATACCTTAATGTATTCCACAAATTCAGAAAGTAAATCCTGGTTTTCTTGCGCCGCATTTTCTGTGGTGCCTTCAGCATCAATTGAGAAGGCCCCTTTCCACTTTTCAAACTCTAATGCAGCGGCAGCTTCTTCCTTAGCTTGCCGAGCCTTAGCTTCCTCTTCCTAAAAAAATGTGGAGTCACATTATTCAATAAGTACCCAATTCATAAACAATCCAAATTGTTCGAGCAAAGCATACCATTCGTCGCTCTTCTGCTTCACGTTCCTCATCTTTTCTTCTTTGTGATTCTGCATAACGATCTTGCTTGGCTAACCTTGAGTCACGTGAAGCTTGTTCAGCCTTCAAGAAAGGCCACAGAAAGAAACAATGAAAAAAGCAGAAATGAACGTATCAGTAACTTTGATAGATAACTGAACAATACCAGATTATCAACAAATACTACAGTAATAACTAGCAATCAAGGAAAATAGTCACAACCCTTAAATTCTTCCTCTTTTTTTAGTCGGTAAGAAAACATCACATTTCAGGTAAGAGTACAATAGAAAGCATGTTACATTAAGTATACATACATAGTACATGAGGAAGTAAAATTAATTTCACCTGTCTTTGTGCTTCACGTTCTTGTCGTTTCTTATCTTTTTTCCTTCCTCCCCTAGTTTCATTCTCAACCTCAGCATCTTCATCATCACTCTCGTCGCCTAATTCTGCATATAAATCATATATGAGCCACAGCATTGGACATCACAAGTACTTCACAATCTCTAACAAATTACATAGTAGCTAATTACAGAACACTTTTGTTGCACCATATGGAAGCTTTACATACATCTAAACAGAACAATTCCTTAAAGACCAGCCATATAAGCAATTAGGAACAACATACAAAGTAAAACCATATCACATAAACCTTGATCAAAAGAAAACCAACCTTCAACAGCTGCTGCAGCTGTAGATGTACTAGCCCTGGCTGCTGGCCTACGACGCATACGACGAGCCCCAGTAGCGCATACCACATTTTCCCTTTGAGGAACCTGAAACATTTACAATCCACCATCTTATTTTCACAAACATTTAACCCCTTTCTACAACACCCTCAACTAATTTTAAAATGGCAAATACTTTTATACATAGTACAACATAATCACTCCAAACCACATCAAATTCAACTTCACATAGGGGTAACTTCCATGTTTTTTCGAGCGACTAAACATATTGTATATAATACACCCGTTGTATGTAAGACCGACTAATTGCATTTAAAAGGTTGAGAGATTGAATAACCTGATTACCCGAGGCTCTTCTTCATGCCTATCGGCAGCTTTAGAATCCTGACGACGTTTCCATAAAAACAGCGGAACTAAACCAAATATAAGCAGCATCGAAAGCACAGCAACCAAAATATCATCCATCTTTCAATTCTAAAAACTGCCCAACAAAAATTACAATCACCCCATCAATAATTATTCAATATTCAGCTCAATTGCTCAAACAATGCAAAATATCACAAATTCATTACATTATTTAAAAGGGTTTGAGATTTAACTTATTTTTTCGAGATTTAAGTCATCAATTGTTGAATTGTTCGGATAAATTAGGGGAATTGAATGGTTCGACAAAGTTAGGTATTGAAAAAATGATGAAAATTGACAATAATCGGAAATTCAATAGGAATTACCTGGAATTGGATTGAGAACTGGGAAAATTGAGTGATCGAATTACAAATTTGAGAGTCAAAGCCGTTTCCTTCTCTCTTTCTTCAAAGTGTCGAGCTTATTTGCTTGAGCAGTATATTTCAGACGGTTGAGGTCCGTGGAAAGGCATCAAGCAAAAGTGCAAAACGACGTTGGGTGCAATTGTTGGGTGCTTAGATCTAAGCTTAGCAAAGTTGATCCAAACCAATTACCTGAACCGATTTACCCAAACCAAGACTCAAAAAGAATCTTGATCCAAAATTCGCTGATAGACTTGATAGTTAAAAGTGACCCGAACTAAGGCCCCGAAACTGAAATTATTTTTACTGAACTGAAATTATTTTTGCTGGACTGAAGTTATTTTTACTGATTTTCTATTATATTTCTTCTTTATAGTTACTGAATTTTACTGAACTGAACTTATTTTTACTGAACTAAACTTATTTTTACTGAACTGAAATTATTTTTACCAAACTTAAATTATTTTTACTGAACTAAGATTATTTTTGCTTAATATTATTTTTTTAAGGTGAAATGAATAGGGCCTAATCCTAGTTTGATGCAGAGTAACAAAATTATAGCTTTTCATTGGCTTTTAGCTTTAGCTAAAAGCTGGGTTTTAAGCCGAAATAATAAGCTGCTTGGAGTAGCTTTTAGCTTTTCACTTGAGTTGATAATACAATCAACAATTGATTTTATCAAACATATTTTTGAACAAATAAAAGTCAGCCAGCCAATTCAAATCACTAGTCAAACAAACCCATCAAATAAATTAACAAATTGTCAAATAAAGCCTAAAATCATACGTTATTGAAGTGCCATAAGGCAAAGTAGTAGTTATAATTTATAATCAAAAAAATTCAAACACAAATACTTTTGTATATAACAAAAAACATAAGCTAACCACTTAACCATGAACATGTCTAGAGTTAGTCCTCTTTAATCTTCGTTCCCTAAATTTGTAATAAGAAGTTGGATGTTAGGCTTTGAAACTTTTTGATATATGTATGTGTCCATCACCTTCTATTGTGAGTCAACTGAAAAATCCACATATTATGTTTAGATCATGGTCAAGCTAAGCTTGATCTATTAGTAAAAACTACACTTTCAATATGAGATTAGGTTTAATTTCTATTAGGAGTACTTTGAGGGTAGGATTCCCTCATCTTTTCTCCTCATCACTTTTAAAGTGTTTAGTCTAGCCTACTAACTTAAAAGGTCAAATCATACGAGATTTTGGCTTGATAGGACTATTCTTTATCATAATAGTTTACCCAGCGGTAAGCTAATTGTTCTATTTCATTTCATTCATTGTTACTTGCTTACTTCATCAAATCAATTCAACGATACAATAAAAGTTGGAGACAAACTTGAGTGGAAAGTGAAAAGGAATAAACAACTTCTAGTACACAACAATACAAGTAGGGGTGCTAATCGAGTGAGTCGATCACGAGCAGAGGGTTGCTCGACTCGTGCTCACTAATTTTCAAGTCGAACCGAGTCAATCACGAGTTGCTCGTTTAAAGGTTTAGGTCTCTTGAATTTCAAATATTTGTTGATTATATTTTATTCTCTTTATATAAATTTTTCCTATTTAAGTTTATGATTTTAAATTTATTAAGTGTCAAACTAAATTTTTGTTTTTAAAGATAGAAGAATAGAAAAATATTGAATTTCTTGTATACTTATTGAGTTTCGAGCTGATTCGAGCGAGCACAAGCAAACTCGAGTCGAGTTTTGACCGAGTCTAGTTCGAGCTACTCGCGAGTTGCCTTGCTCAATTAGCACCCCTAAATACAAGCAGCTCTCGTAGAAGTGGAGATACAATACATCAGAGTAAAGAGCACAACTACTCCCTAGACTTAGCCAAAAGTTGCAGTTAGCTCACTGAACTTTCAAAAGTTGCAAGTTACTCACTATAACCTCTTTTGACCTTCATTTACACGTTAATTGATAGAGCTCCCTAAACTTTCCGACATAAAAATCAGCAACTCCCTAAGCTTTCTGACATAAAAGTTAGTGCACACCCTAAACTTTCCTATAACTCCCTAAACTTCCTCATATGATTTTTAATTAACTAGCCATTACAAAATACTAATAACAATAATAATTATTATTAAAAATCGATTATTATATAAAAAAAATTCTAACAACAACTATATGTATATACTCCAATGCATTTTCGATACTCTGTTATTATTTTGTAAAATAGAAAGTAGTGAAGAAAGCTCCCACAAAAAAAATAAATAAATAAATAAATAAATAAATAAAAAATTAATTTTGAATTATTCTGTAAAAATGAAATGGCTACTATAGCAAAGTCTTTTTTTTTTTTGAATAAATAGCTAATTCTAATTTGTCTGCCTTTAATAATTATTTTCAGTCTGCTTTAACTCTTGTCAAACCCACCCCCCCCCCCCTTAATATAATACATATTAGTGACAAAACATTAAAACAACGAATTTTTTACCAAAATTGCTAATTTAATAAAAATATTTACCAAACGGCTATTTATATAATTTAATTCCATATCTAGCTAAAATATTGATTTGGAAGGAATTTATTTATTTATTTATATTTAATCTCCTTTGAATTAGTTTAGTTCAATTTTTTTGGTTTTTTTTTTAAAAATTTGTGTTTTTGGGCTTTTTAGTTAGAAAATTATATAGCCACGTACTAATATAAGTAAACAACCGCTTTAAGCAACCCTAATTTCAACATCACAAAAAATTTTAAACTTTTTTCTAGATCATGATTGTATCACAAAAAATTGGAATTTAAAGTTTTTTTTTTTTAACGCACGCAACTGCAAATTTATACGATGATGAGGGATTTTTTTTTTTAAGGAGACGATAAGGGATTTTTAGTACTATGTTCTCTGCTAAAGTTTGCTAATTATAAATTTTGTTGAATTTAATGTGTATAATAAATCAAACATTCAAACTAATTACTATGTGATATATAATGGCACACAATGAATATGCTCATCTTGTTCGAAGAACAATCTGATTCCTGATTGTTTGATTTGGTAAGTCATTCTTTCTACTATGATGTTAATGTATATGGATCATCTAATAAATAAATAAATAAAAAAAAAAAAAAAAACCAACCGAACCAAACTAGTGCAAAGGAAAAAATAAATAAATAATTTTCTTCCAAGTCAAAAATTTAGTTAGTTTTAGAATTTAAAATTTAGAGTTCCCATTGGCATACAAATGTATGATTAGATTGTTAAATTTAAGAAAATGAAGAAAAAAAATACCAAAGTTTAGGGAGTTTACCTATTAGTACAATAGTTTAGGCAAAGGTTAGGGAGTTAATCTGCTATATTAGGTTAGTACCTGAAAAATGACCTTCAACCACCTAAGTAGTGAGTAACTTGCAACATTTAAGAGTTTAGTGAGTAAAGTGCAACTTTTGGCTAAGTTTAGGGGGTATTTATATGCTTTACTCCAATACATCATAACAAGAACTAGTCATTCAGCAACACCTCTAGTAAATTAACTAGCGAGTGGTGACCACACGGTACACTACAACAAACATACTTAACATCTCAACCAAAACTTATTCCTTACTAATACTATTAAACTATTACCTCACTCTTCATTTAGCTGTGACATTACTAGTTCGATCTAATAGTATATCAACAAAACTACAATGTAATTTATTCTAGATCGAGATGAGAAAATGCATGTGTTCAACATCATATGTTGCCTATTTCCATTCACAACCCTTCAACATAAGTAACTCCAGCTTCTTCCAACCACTCTTGTCCTTGAATAAACACCCCAACAGTAAAATTCCTTGCCTCCTTTGGGTCAGTAATAACATTATAACCAGTCCAATTCACTCTCTTACTTGTATCAGCACCCAAACCATAGTTCATGTACTCAGCATAATACAAAGTGTCCAATGCAAAATCTCCGTCCCACTCAAACCAACCCCTAGGATCAATATGATCACTAATGTTCGATTGCATAACAATAGTCCTCGAGAAGTTCTTCCAAGGTCGACCCAAGAAGGTTGGGAACTTGGCTTTGACCGGTGCTAGTTCCGAGCAAGCTACAATGTCACAATATTGAATCGAAGTACCCGTGTTTTGGAATGGATCAGTCCTTCCTTGGGCAGTGACCATGTTTTTTTGGGATGCCATAGGTAGTCGTGCGACTAGCTCACAATTTTGGAGCACAACAGCCGCGTTACCAAATATGAAGTCTACCGTGCCTGAGATAGAAGAGTAAGTGTAGAATTGTCTAAGGGAGTGTGCATAGAGCGTGTCTTGGTAGGCTTCTATTTTGCATCGATTTATGACCGATTGATCGGCTCCTACACGAAGGGCGACTGCTTGGTGCTTCTCTGGCCCTGCGGTGTTTCGGATGCATATGTCTTGGAGTATAAATCCATCACCTACGGCGGCTGCATGCAATTGGGAATTTTATACATGTGAGACAAATGAAATTGGATTTTTACATGTGTTAGTAATTACTTATTCATTTCATCAATAATTCAATGAACAAACACAAGGTTAACAAAGTGGAAAGTTAGCTCCATATTATTAGTTACCCCGTGATTTATTCACAACTCACAAGCATAAGTCATCATGTTTCCTGTAAGGACTATATCGCTAATTCGCTATAAATATTTTAATTATGCAGAATATATATAATACATGTAAATATATACGTAATCATAACACTTAATTATAATCAAACTTTTTAATGTTTTCATACTTAGCTTGTATAATGTAAAAGGTTGGAAAGTCTTCAGAATCTATACTTTATTATTTATATATTAAAAAGCGTTCCTAAAAACGCTTATGTGCCTCGTCATTCCCTCCTTAACAAGCATTGTGCCATGTCATCTATCACTCAACATAAACAAACCAATGTTCCTTCCATTATTGACATATTAATCTATACAATATATTAAAAGGCATTGCTAAAAATGTCGATGTGCCACGTAGGCCCTTTTTAATTATGCCACGCCAGCTTCCCAATATCTCATGACGCCATGTCACCTTTAACAATTTTAACTCTTACGACATGTCACGAAGATACCACATTACTCCATATAAAAATATAAGGTTAAGGAGATTCAAACACCCAACCTCTTACACCAAGAATGACTATTTAATAATCTAAGCCAATTACCAACCACGTTATCAA